TCGGGTCGGGCGAAAGGGGGGGATAGCAAAGGGGGGGGTTTGAGAATCAGCTCACGCAGCTGATTTTCCCGGCGCCTCCCGGCGCCGGAAGCGGCTATGTATCGAGGAATGGGCCCCTCGGTGAGGCCGAAACCAGCTGCATGCAGCAAATTTCGTAACCCCCCCTTTCCCAATCCCCCCCTTTCGTCCGGCCCGACTAAAGTGTACCAAAAAAACATGTTCCGTCGGCGGCTCGGGCTGTAAGAGGCAGCCGCTTCCAGGCGGGCGAATCGGGGCAACTGAACGGCGCTTGGCGGCGTGCGAGAGGGAGGAAAGAAGATGAGGGCGGCCGCGGGGCGGGGCGGGGGATGAGGAGGAGGTGGAGGCGGAGGGAAGGAGGAGGAGGGGAGGAGTAGCGAGGAGGAGGAGGGAGGAGGAGGAGGAGGAGGAGGAGGAGGAGGAGGAGGGAGGAGGAGGAGAAAAGAGGGAGAAGGAGGAGGAAAGAGGTAGGATGAGGAGGAGGAGGAGGAGGAGGAGGAGGAGGAGGAGGAGGGACACCACCACCAGCAGTGCGAGGAGCTGGGGGGGAGGGGGGCTCCTCCTGGCCGTGTGTTGCCTCCCTGCTCCGCTCGAGCCATCTCCAGCCTCCGGCTCGGGGAGGCATCGAAGGACCTCCGCGCGGGGGCTGGCCCCCCTGGCGGTGGCGGCGCCGCTCCACCCTCCTCTCGCGGCACCGGCCCGTGCAGGCGCGCTGCAGCGTGCTCCTGCGTGGATTTCTGCGTGGACTTTGGCCCGCAGCGGCGAGCAAAAACAGAAGTGCATGTCGCGTGGATCCCTGTTGGCCGTCATTCCTGGGAATGCCAACAAGAATCCGCGCGAAATTCACCCCGAGATCGGGAACGAAGCTCTCCAAGACACCCTGGGCACGCCCTATCGTTTCCCGAACCCGCTCTGCGATGTTGGCGCCATGATTCCTCCGAAGTATCCCCCCCTCCTGAGCAAGGGGCAAGCGGGTCCTGTGGGAAACGGGTCCTGGACCCCGGGGCCTTCCCCCAGGTCGAGCTTTGGGTCGGGCATGTCCCTCTACAGGCGGATGCTGGGCGAAAATCAAACTATAATCGACAACTCGTGCCCAGAGCATGTTTTGACCATTTGAGACACTCCTCCCGTAGAGGGACCTGCCCGACGTAAGTCGCGCTCTTCATCCCGAGTCGTCTTCCGACAGCCCCGGGGCCCGCGGAGGGCCCCGCGGACCTGGAGAAGACGGCGAAACCAAAAAACAAAAAAACAGGACCCCGACATCGGCCTGCTCCAATTCTTCGGTGCGTGGGCCCCGGAGGTCTGGACCACTTTTCGTCGCGTCGGGCGAAAGGGGGGGAAAGCAAAGGGGGGTTTGAGAATCAGCTCACGCAGCTGATTTCCCCGGCGCCTCCCGGCGCCGGAGGCGGCCATGTCTCGAGGAATGGGCCGGGCCCCTCGGTGGGGCCGAAACCAGCTGCATGCAGCAGATTTCGTACCCCCCCCTTTCCCTATCCCCCTCACCTTTCGTCTGGCCCGATCAAAATGGCCCAAAACTTGTTCCGTCGGCGGCGAGGCAGAGGCAGCCCGCTCCAGCGCGGGGCGAATCGGGGCAACTGAACGGCGCCTTGCCGGGCGTGCGAGAGGGAGGAAAGAAGATGAGGGCGGCCGGGCGAGGGGAGGAGGAGGAGGAGGAGGAGGAGGAGGAGGAGGAGGAGGAGGAGGAGGAGGAGGAGGAGGATGAGGAGGAGGAGGATCCCTTTCGCCCGGCCCGAGCATCGCGCTGCATCTCTCTCTGACGGTCCCGAGGCCGGGCGAGGGCCGTCAGAGGCCGAAGACAGACCCCCCCCCAAAACGGCCCCAGCATCTCTGGGAGCGTCGGGTCTCTGAGGGTCCCTCTTCCCGCAGGACCCGCTTCCCCCCATCGGAGCCTTTTCTTCGGGTGGAGGGCTCAGGGTGACATCCGTCGGGGCGCTTGCGCCTCGAAAGCCAGTCCCTCCTGTGATTCACAGGGGGAAAAACAAACCTACCTCGCTTTTGACCACCCTCGCTTCCAAGAGATACCAAGCGATGCCAAACTACGGCCTGTTCTGGTCAGGTCACTTGACGAGGAGGCGCGTGGTACGACTTGGTTTCTCCTGGAAGCGAAAGCGGGGTAGGCAATTCACGCTCTGAAAATTCACCTTTTGCAGATTCGAGCCTCGAGAAGCCGTCGAAACGGCATCTCAGGCTTCGCCCGTTGTCCTCCACCCCACCCCAACAAAAAAATGCTCGGCCCAGGGCGAGACTCGCCTGGGCCACGGCGCGGGGAGGCCGGGTCCTGCCGCCCCCGCAGCGCAAAAGCTTCGGGTGACCCCCAAGGGGCTCTCGCGGAGAGCGGGTGGTGCAGCAGATCGGGGGCAGGCATATCGCAGATGCACTGCGCTGGCAAGTTGGACTGCGTTGTGCTGCAAGTGATGCAGCAAGTTGTACTGCACTGTACTGCAAGTATTGCAGGTGCACTGCGCTGGCAAGTTGTACTGCGTTGTACTGCAAGTAACGCATGACACGCGGAAGTCCAGCAATTACATCTGCGCCCCGGAACGGATTGCGCGCCCCACACATGTACTGCAAGCCCACAAAAGTCTGTTGCACCAAATCTAGTGCCCCACCTCCTAGTCGCTGGACCTCCTTTTGGGTCCGCCCGAAAATGAAGGGGAACTGGGACACACAAATAAATATACACAAATAACAAGATTCCCTATGTTTTCCCATGTTTTCTGGGTTTCTGTCTTCCCGCCTATTTCCCAAATTTTCCCATATCTCCTGGGGAATCGACGATCCATTGTGTCTGTGTGTGTTTTTCCCTCCTGAGAACAGCGCGCGCGGCCAGGCCTGGGCTCCGGCGGCGGCAGAAGACCGTGCGCGCGCCGGCCTGCCGTCGCGCGCAGCGGCGCGAGCGGCGGCGGCAGAGGCGGCGGCGGCGGCGGCGGCGGCGGCGGCGGCGGCGCGATGGCGGCGACGGCGACGACCGATCGGCTGCCGCCGGCGCGGCTGCCGCCGCAGCCGCGTCGAGGATCCAGAGTCCAGAGATCGGTCGAGCTCCTCCTCCTCCTCCCCCTCCCCCTCCCCCTCCTCGCATCCGTCGCCCGCCCCCCCACATTCGGTGACGCCCAAGGGGCAGCGGCCTTCGGGAGAACCTGCGGGGGAACTGGGCAGGGCGCACAGGAGGAACGACCCTCACGCGGCCAGCCCCAGAGACAGCGCCGACACGACACTGCTGCTGGAGGCCTGGAGATGGCCACCAGCACCGCCACCAGGGGTGCCGACATAGAAGAAGAACATAACGAAATAAACATGAACTGTTGGCGCTCCGCGAGGAATTCTTGGATCTGGGCTGCGCTGGACCCCCCTCCCTGGCGCGCGGAGCGCGCCAGGAGCGGCGCGGGAGGTGCCGCCAGGGGGCCCAGCGCGGATCCAAGAAATCCGCGCGGAGCGCCAACAGTTTATGTTTGTGGCGTTTTTTCTTCTACGACTCCACCTGGGGAGGGTGATCCTGGATGTCGGTGCTGGTGGTAATCTTTCGGCCACCTGGGAGGCACAAGAATTACAACCGTCACCGAGATCGGGATCATCTTCCGGCGGTGGAGGCAGACCGCCGATTTTGGTGTTGGTGATACCTCGAGGCCTCCGATGCCGACTACCTACCAGACCACCCCAGCCCAACGCGAGATCCCAAACTTCGGGCCCGGGGGCGCACGGGTGCCATCTGTGTGTGTGTGTTCACTTTTGCGGCGCGCACAAGGGGGTGGAGGGAGGGGGGAGGGCTTCTTAATAGGAGGCTGCTTCTCAGAAGGCGCCGGCCTTAAACCGATGGGTGAGGCCCGCGCCTTCTAAGAAGCAGGGGTGCTTCTAAGAAGCCTTCTCCCCTCCCCCCACTCCTCTGTGCGCGCGGGATGCCTCCCACACTGGGAGTGGAGGGCAACTGGGGGCCCTCGGGTTGGGTTGGGGTGGTCTGGTGGGCAGCGACCTGCTCGCTGCCGGCAGTGCAATCGTGATTTGTTTCAACAATTCGGCCACACGCAATTGTGACCCTGGGTAAGAGTGGCCTTTGGTGCGCGGCTTGTAGGGGGCCGCGGGGGGACCAAACCCGAGCGCGCAAGACGCCACTAATTATCGCAATCGCGCTCGGAGGCCGGGGGACCCCAGTGGGCCCGCACCAAAGGTCACTCCGGCGATGGGTCACTCTTACGGGCAGTCAAACAATGTCGACCCCCACATGTCTGGACCTTAGCGGGCCCTGGAAACGACAAGGCCGTTTTTTTTTGCCGGTTCCGTTTTGCCGTTTGTTGCTGGTCCCGATGCCGTTTGTTTACCGGTTCCGTCGCCGTTCTTTTGCGGGTTCCCACTCCGGTTCCAATCCTGGAGCCGTTTCTGTTGCCGTTTCTGGTCGCCGTTTTTTGTTGCCGCTTCCATTTTCCAAGGACACTCTTTCGGCAACGGTGAAAAAGCGGCCCTGCCGTTTTCGGGAGCGGCAAAGAGGGGGGTGTCCAAGAGGGGGGGGTGCAAATCATGACCGGCGGCATGTGCGCGGCCCAGCGGGGGTGCCAGGAGCGTAATAAAACAAGAAGAGGCGCCACGAAATCTGGGGAGATATCATGGCCCCCGCCATGATATCCACCCCCCCTAGTCATCACCCCCCTCTTTCCCGCCCCCGACGTTTCCGGGGCCCACTTCAGGTCTGGACCCCTTCCCCGGGAACGGCTTCTCATGCCGAGGCAACTTTGGGTGGTCCCCGGGGCCAGCGACGGACCCCCCCCCAACGGCCGACATGTTTGCTTGTTCTTTTCGCTGGCCCGGGGGCCCGGCGAGGGCCCCCCTTATAAGAGGCCGAGAACGGCGCCCCCCCCCTCCCCAGGCGCCTCCCGAGAAGGCCTTCTCCTTCTCTGTCTCTTGTCTCGGCCAAGTCATGGGGCGCACGGCGGAGACGTCCTCCTCCTCCCTCTCACTCCCCCTCCTCGCTCGGAGGCGCACCGACCCGGGTCACTGCAGACCCAGGGCAGTCAGGCTTTGCAGGATCCTGCGGGATCGTGCAGGATCCTGCGCTCTGGCCCGGGCCAGTGCGCTCCAGGGGCCTGCAGGATCCTGCACGCTCTGGCGGTCTGGCTGGCTCCCGTTTGCATTACGCCGGGCACGTCCTTCCACATGAGGAATATCCACAATTGGTCAAAAATAGTCTTGGGGACGATGGATCGACTATTCTGAACTCTTGTTAGCTTGCCTCCAGAATCCGCCTGACATGCCCGACTTAACGCTTGCATTCTCCCCGGTCCCCAGACATGCCGCATGTCAGGACGCCGCATGTCACATGCGACGTCCTGATTTTTCCAGGACGGCTCCCCTGGACGTCCCGACCTTTTCCCTGGGACCGGTTTTTAATCCGGAGTCAGTTCTTGACGGTCCCGAGGCCCGGCGAGAACCCTCCGAGGCTGAAATTGGCCGCAAACCTGAAGGGGGCCCTCGGACACACAAATGACTAGACACAAATAACAGGATCCCCAATAGTTTCCCATATGCAGTGGGTCTTTGTCTTCACCCCCACTTCCCATGTATTTTCCAATGTTTCATGGGGAATCGACGATTCATCGTGTCTGTGTTCTTTCCCCTCCTGAACACCGCCCGTTCTATCTTTTAAACGACGCGATCATGATGGGCTTGCTTTCCACCACCACAACCACCACCACCACCATGAGTTGGAGGGGGGAAGGAGACGGAGGACGAGGAGGAGGAGGAGGAGGAGGAGGAGGAGGAGGAGGAGGAGGACCCCCTCCCATCAGTCCCATCAGATCGTGTCCCATCAGATCATGTCTCAACAGCTGGTGGAAATAGAGGCCTCCTAGATGGGGTCGGAGTAGAAGGTGGTCGACGGATCGCGCCGCATCGCCAATGAATCGGCGATTCCGGCGTGGGCAAGCACGGGCTCTACATCGGACCGCATCGCCGATGCATCTGCGATGCAGCGCGATCCTCCGACCCCCATCCAGGAGGAGAGGAAGACAGCCCCCTCGCATCGTGTCCGGGCCTCGAGGCCCGCGGCTCGCTCGCGCGCGCGGCCGCCCCCTGCCGCCAGCGGGCCCGCCCTGCCCCCAGAAATGGCGGCCCTCCGCGGCGCCGACGCGCAGAGAGAGGGGGGGCATGCCGACGCGGGCGGGGGGGGCGCCCCTCCCGGGGGAGCGCCCCCGGGGGAGGGGCCTCCTGGGCGGCTGGCGGCGAGCGCGCGGGGGCAGCTCGGAGGCCACTGTGCCCCAGACGTAGGTTGCTCCCATCGTACTTGTAAAGCCACGTGCCCAGGAATCCTTTCGAGCACCCGGAAGAGGGTCGAAAGAGTGTCGAGGCAGTGTCGGACGAGCGTCTCCCAGGGCCCGACACGTGAAAACCCTTGATTTGTTGTGCTTTCTTGGTGCTCGAAACTCTTATCTCTTGCTGGTGGTCAAGGCTAAAGTAGGTTGGAACATCATAGCCTTAAGTCGGGCCTGTCCCCCTACAGGGGGATTTCCGAAGAAACATACAAAATACCACAAAACTAATCAACAAATAATCAAAACATAGTCTGGGGACTATTTGTTTGAGCATTATTTGACCACGTGGGGGGTATTTTGGGGGGTATGTTTTATGTTTCGTCGAAAATCCCCCTTGTAGGGGGACTCGTAGCCCCAGACAGGATCGCGTCGCGAAAATAAAAAATCAGGACGGGCGGCCTTTGGCCCACTTCGGCCTCGGGGGGCCCCCGCCGGGCCTCGGGCCTCGGGGGGGCCAGTCAGGAGGCAGCCTGCTGGGAGGTCCTCGCCGGAAGGCCTGCGGAGGATCTCCGGCCCAAAGATCTGAGAAATCAGGACGGATTTGCTTCGCTGTTTGTGGCCTCTCGGGGCCCTCGCCGGGCCCCGGGACCGTCAACAAACACCACTCAGGATGGAAAACCGGTCGCGGAGAAAGGGTCTGGACGTCCAGGGGCGCCCGTCCTGAAAAAACCAAGACGTCGCATGTCTGGGACTGGGAGGTATTCGTCGGAAAGACTACGGAGGATTAAGCCCCATTGGCGCCGGAGTGGGCCTCGGATTAAGCGAGATTGAGGCGGATGAAGCGGGATTAAACGGGATAGCGCCGGATTTAGCGGAATTGAGCCGGATTTCGGACCAGGTCAAAATCATGATTAGACCTCC